TTTCTCCTATTGCTCGATGTTTCGTGTTACTCGCCAGCTGTCGATCTTCACCCTCATGACTTCCCATTCCGGTTGACTCCTGGCGTTCTCGAGAGAGGAACTGAAGGGTTTGGGTGAGACTAGAAGAGGTATGCGTAACGGAAAGGAAAGGAACAGGAAGAAACAAAGCTCGACTCAGCTGGCGCTTGGAGCCGAAACTCGAAAAAAGAGCATTGTTTAGAACTGTTTTTTGACTGTAGTAGCTCGGCCATTGCAGGTGCTTCAGAATTTTCTAACAACAAAAAAAAACTGCAATGAATCTTTATTGATATTCTACATGAATCAGCTATTCACAGATATTGTAAAAATCCCGCCGATCGAATTCCATCTCAATCCACGATGGGATCCGCCCACACGCAGTCCTCCTCGATCTAAAATGATCACAATTTTTTTTCAGCAATCGTGTTGTAGAGATGTACTTTCCTTATCCCTGACATGGACATGGAGTGGGCGTGGCATTCAAAGACGGCATATACTGGGCTGCTCGTGGGCAACTGTCATGTTGTTGTGTGTTGCACAGAGATTTGACAATAGTTGTGCCAGAATGAAAATATCACTCCAAAGTCGCAGCCAGCGCCACGTACAGTTGAAGTACGCAGCCACGCCTACCACATCTCAGGGATTTCGGGTGTACGTGGTACAACTAAGCAAGTTTTGTGGTTTGAGTCGACTGAGTAAATGGTAAGGTACATATGTGTGCCAAGAAGTCAACGGTCTATCCTCAGGTGACTGTGGAAGTGCTAAAAATCCATGAAAGATATATAGTTCTGCGGGGAGAGATCTCTGGAGAATTTTATAAACTAGAAGCGAACGTGATGCGCTTGCTTGATCTGCTTGGGAGCTCACAAAGGATCGCGGCGCTAAGACAGTTTGAGGGCCAGTGAACGAAACAGACATAGAACGAAAATTGTCTCGTTGAGAGTGCGCAGACAAGCCGAGAATGGTTTGTCTAGTGTCTCAGCAACTATTTGTGAAGTTTGCTGCCCTAGTGAAGGTGAATAGGAGGTAGAGGGAACAGCCAACCGCGCCTCTGGATCCGTTTCTCTAACCGAGAATTACGTCAGGGTGCAGACGACTAAAGTCGCAGAGGCTAGTTTGGCAGGGAAGATAACTCGAGTGAGTTCTAAGCCTTGCTTTTGGGAAGGGACAAAGAGGCGCTGCTAGTCGTCTACGAGGAAACTACGTTAACACCAAATTTACTATGAGGCCAGCTGTGAATCCATTCCTTCAGAAGCATCTGAAGCGCTTGCCGAACTATTGCGCAGAATTCCTGGTAACGCTCCCCCTGATCAGCGCTGCGTCTGGGCGTTGTGGACAGGGGGCATATCATTAGTCGGGATAATAGTCAAGTCCGGTCCTTACGACCCCACTCCTTTTTTAGGCGGTTGGCACGACTCCCTCTGGTTCCCTCCCCAGGTCGAGGGAAGGGGATTTTCCCCAACTGTCTACCATTTTTCCCGGAGTTCCCGAAAATTTTCCTACCTATCTCAGAAAGCAGCAGGCACAGGGCAAATAGTCCTCGCTTCCCTCCCCCCCCCCTCCTCCTCCCAACGGCGAGTAAATACGTCCCCCCCCTTCCAGCGACAAAATACGACCCCCCATGTCGGGATATCCTCAACAACGATGTGCCCTGATTGTGGAGCAACCGGCCAATTCTCGCAAGTGAGCGTCATCGCCGCCGTACACGGTAACGGTTTCATCACGTCTCTTAGCGTCCACATCCTTCATTGGCAAAACTCTTACCTTCAAATTGTATTTGCTTCCGGCATCTTTGTAAGTGGATGTGACCACACGGAACCAGCCTTGTTCGCCCCATGGGGTACCCCATGAGTTTCGTCCAATCCAGTACTCGACTCCACTGTCATGGTCAACACCCCATCCCACAACAGAAATGATGTGGTCAATATCGTCATTGGTGGCCTCCTAAAGCAACGTAAACAATAGATAAACAAATAGCTGCAAGAGTATCTTAGACTTTTCAAAGTCATCTAGAAAACTCTTGCTTCTCCTCCACACTTCAAAAGTGGAGCGGATACTGTAGAAGTAGTAAATGTAGCAAGCCCACCTTGTAGATTCCTCCTGCGTACGTTTCGAACGCCTTTGTAGCAGCGATTCCGCATGCGATCGGACCATTGTGGTAAATTTCTGCTTTCATCTTATCCATTCCTCTTACTGTTCCTGTATCACATATCGCTTGACGGTTGCTGGTACTTTTGTAGTTCTACAGCCAGATTGCTTTGGACTGGAGCCGGACTTACCACACAGCTTACAAACACAAAGAAATCCTTTTTTATTGAATTTCATCAAATTGCGCTTCTGCTTTGGACAACGTGCGCATTGTTACCCAATTATTTTTGAGCAGATCTTCAACCCATGACTCCCTTCAACAACATCAACTTGCACCACTGCTACATCGCGAAAAATCAAATCTGTTGATGGCGGAAACATCGCCGATGACATACGTCAGAACACCATTGCCACCCACTCCTGGCAGTGACTGGCACTCATGGAACTGATGTAGTGTCCAGTCCTTTTGCATACCCACCTCCGAGCTTTTTTAGATTAAAGAAGACCCAGTCCCATGCGGTATTATGTCCCCGTAAGAGAGTTGTTAGGATAGGGGTGAAAGCCTATCTTGTGCTCCACGCTCATTTCGTTTCACAAAAGCTGTGGGAGCCGTACCACTTCAAGGAAATGTAATAATGAGAATAGTAATGTTTGCCATTTCACTTACCGTACTCCTTGACCTTGTAAGGAGTATAGTTTTTGATTGAGAAGCAGTCGCCCGGCCAGCATGACCCGCATCGATTGTAGGGATCGCATCCTGAAGTTCAGTGTTTAGAGTAGTTTCAGTTATACATCCAGCTCAGTGAGAAGTGACCCTGAACTGATTGCTTGTGTCTTTCTTCACATAAAACTCTGCCCTTACATTCTATAGTTAGGGTAGATTTGGGTAGATTTCAAAGGAATACTATGCAGGGCGATCACGTTTACGTAAAGTTGCCCTCCCGAGAGCAAAAGAGAAATTTGGGCGGCGTTCATAGTTTGCGATATCGGCGATCGCGCCATCGCCAAGAATCACATACGTGATGTTCTTTTGATACTATTGAACTGTTTCTACCCCAATAACTCAGAACTTTTCTGCTGAAACTTTTGACCACAGGGGTGGTTCGATTCCCTGATCACGAATACGGCATTCCTTCTGGCGATGGCGTCACCTGACGCCATAAGCGCCACCTTCTTCCTCAGCAAAATTGATATAGCCCTGTATACGGGGGTGTTGACATCCCGATCACGTCATATACGGCATAGATTTCTGGCGCTGGCACTATATGGAGCCATCAACGCCTAGTTTAGCGCCACAACTCGAATACATGCCCTGATCACGCAAATAGCGCTGTGCTGAGGCTGAACCAGGGAGAAGAAATGTTTCCCTTCAGGCCAGGCTCAGCCTTAGCAGAGCGCAGATCATCGTAGTGTCCTCCACTAGCGCCGGCGCCAAGAATAATTGTCATATTCATAATCAGGATGTCAAATAACCTCCACATGTGAGTTTTCGGGAAATCTGAGATTTAGGGTGTTTTGTCGCGGGTGCCAGGCGGTTTCGGGCCAAGCGGATAGGATTTTCATATTTATGAGGTCGAACTACCCTTAGAAGCAGATTTTCAGCCATATATGCCCTCGTAGAAAAAAGGCGGCAAAAAACCGGCCTGATTTCGGAAGAGGGGTAGGAATAGTTCAATAGTGATCTTTTACTGCTTGGAGTTCGGGGGTGTTCGAGCACGCCATCAACTATGAACACTGTCTTCACCATTCATACCTACCATGGCTTAGCTCTTCAGTAAACTTTGCAGCGATAAGAATCTTGTGTAATATCCTTCAACTTACGTCCATCACGGGCTTGATAGTTGTTGCAGGTCTCGTGTGGAATTCCATGTTTTTTTGCGTACTCGTAGACACCACCAGGTTCACCGCCGGCAACACAAGTGCCAGCTCCAGAGCAATCGATGACTTCCTGAAAGAAGCGGAAAAGATAAATTACTCTGCAACAGGAGACTAGTCATTCCTGGGTGAGTTGAGGCAATAGAAACGTTGGGAGTGAAAGATAAAAAAGGGTTATTGGACTCTTCAGGACCTTTGCTTCACTGCCAGAGAGAGGGACGCGACGAAGTGGCTCGCCAGTGCTCGCCCACGGAGATAGTAACTCCCAGTAACTCTCCCTTATACTGGGCTTGGGGGTTTAGTCTCTGAGAGCGCATATAAGGCTGCGTTTATACTTTGCGGCAGCGTAGCGTAGCGCTTCCAGCGTACGCCAGCGGCAGTGTCGGGGAAAGGATAGATATCGATCTAGCGTTCCCAGCGTCACCAGCGTACGCTAGCGTAGCGAGGGCACGGGAAGCATAGCTATCGATCTAGCGCTCCCAGCTTTCACCCGCGC